CATAGAAAAAAACTTGGAAGAATAGAACATTCATATACATAGATACATCATACATGTACACACTCTGAAAAAACTTTAGTTCTGTAAGTTTCAACATAATATTGCTCTCCTCATGCTTATATACTAGACTATAATCTAATAGTCAACTGATGTCGGATACACAGAATACACCCATCAGCTCAAGTTGGGCTGGTCATCACTTGGACTGGGCAACTATAAGGGGGAGAAATAGGCCCAAACCAACAAAGATAGCATTAACTGGTGTGTGAGCAGTGGTCCCACAGACCATCATCGGATCATATTTTTATATCACGTTAAACCTGAACTAACTCGCTCTAAGGGATGAGGTTTGCCTCAAACCTATATACCAAAATCTAACCTCGTATACAATCAATGTGGATACTCAACATATATAATTTTTTTAGGAGAATAGTGTGTATGTTGGTACAACATTTCTCACTAAATAAATCTTAATCACGCAATTTTACTTTTTCAATAAGAACCATGCTACCTCTCAGCTGAGTAAAAAGGTACTAACGAGATAAAAAATGATCCCTAGAGACTATTGTATGGCTTCACTCCCTTAATACTCCCTCTGTTCCCAATTATATGACCCTGCAGGGGGTTTTGATACTAAAGCAGTACTGTTCACTTTAATCTGTTTTGGGTATATTCTTTTATTTAAAAAAAGGAGGTGAGACAAGTATTTCGGAACATCTAGAAAAGAAAATTGGGACATACATTTAGGAATGGAGGGAGTAACACTTAAATGAAATTTATATTCAAACATGAATATGTTTATTATTTCTAGTTCATGTGATTTGTATATCCTCCCAATAATAATGTGCAATGATAAAAATTTAGCTGCATATCTCAAATGCGTGTGTGAAAGGAGCAAAGAAATGGCATTGTTAACACTCTTGGGAAGGTAACCTGAAGACGGTCACGTTTGAGTTGGCGCTTGGATTTTTTCACATCTAGTAGAGGCTTGGACTTGGCTTCCGCATCCTTGTCCTTTTGGTCACCAGTTGTGTGCCTGCTACTGTCGATAAAATTTCTTGGAGGGGCAGGGCGAAGATATTCCCTCTTTACTGGAGCAATTGCTTTAGCCACTAGCTCTTCCGGGGTCTTGTCAGCTACTAAATTTTCTGGGATCTTATCAGCAGTATGTCTCTCACCACAGCCTCCGTCGCTAATGGACGGAGCAACGGCTTCAGAAACTTGCTCTTCTGGGATGTTATCAGCAGTGTTCGTTTTACCACCACATCCGTCGCTAATGGATTTAGACACCCGCGCTTCCTGGACCTTATCAGCAGTGTGCGTCTTAGCACCGCCCCCGTTGCTGATGGCCGGAGCAATGGCTCCGGATACCAGCGCTTCGGGGAAATTATCAGCGGTGTCCGTCTTACCACCGCCGCCGTCGCTAATGGCCGGAGCGATGGCTTCAGCCACTAGCTCTTCCGTTACCATATCAGCAGAGTTCGTTTTACCACCGCCTCCCTCGCTAATGGCCGGGACAAAGGAGTCAGCCATTAGCTCTTCCGGGATCTTAACAGCTGCTTGCGTGTCAACGCCGTTTCCACCGTCAGCATTCGGCGGCGGTGGATCCTCCGAAATGTACGGGTTACGAAGAGTACTCATAGTATTAGGGTTTTGCCGGGGAGTTTGGTTAGTTAGTTATCTAACGTCGTCGTATTGCTTTCCGTATGTCTCCTATTTTAAATTGGTTGTTCAGTCCAGGACCGTTAACGAACAGATCTTTTATGAAATTATTCGAGTTGGAGCTCGGTTTCGAATCTAACGAGGCGAACTTAATGAGCTTTCGAACTCAAACCCGAGCTGAGTTTCAAATTCAAAAAATTAATGGAACCAAGCTCAAATATAGTAGTATTCGGCTCAATTCGAACTCGAGCCTATCAAACACTCTGAAATTATAAATATAATTTTTATATATGTCAAATTTTAAATATAATTAGTATGGTTTTATGATATTAAATATGATTAATGACGAAGTGAATACTTTTCGAATCATTCGAGCACGAGCCTATTAACGAGCATCACCTAAAATTTTAAATTCGAGCATACTTATCGAGCGCTCGATTCGAACGAACGTCTATCTTGCCGAACATAAGCCTCATTTGTAAAGCTCGTCGAGTTTCGAACTCGAACCCGACCACCACTAATTCCTTATCGACCCGAACTCGAGCTTTGGTGTTTGATCTCGGCTCGGCTCGTTAACAGCCCTAGTTCAGCTTCAGCCTGAGAATTGAGAGGTGGGAATGTGGGATTGCCGATTTGCCGGGGACTTCAGCTACTAAACGGCACTGTATCTTTTGCAATTCAGTGTTCCAATTTTCTGATTATTTGAAAAAGGAGCCTGATTGAAAAGGGAGGAAAAGTCTTATTACTTATTGTTTATTCTTATTCTATTGAGATCAAATCAGAAAATTACCTTCATATTCATATCGAGTCCCCATTATATGCTCAATTTAGGATAGATAGCATGCCAAAACTATGATGATTAAGTTTTTATATATCCTTGAGATAGTATGCTCAAGGATATATATCTTGATTAAGTTTTTTTACAATATGTTTGGCATCTTCTTTATATAATGTTTAAAGTTAGAACAAATAAGACTTTAATTTTCCTCCACCATGGCATTGATTATTAAAACATTCAGAATAAATTAGTTGTATCTTATAGTTTCGATGACAAGATGGTCAAGTAAGTCTGTGTACCAATCGTGTTAGCTCAGTTCAATCTTTGAACTAAAAATGACTGATGGGCACCCTGAGGTCTGAACTAGTAAAAAATGGTTCAAATTTCGTTTTTTACCAAGTAAACACCCTGCCACCTGTCTGATTGTCACATGTGCATATGAAGTTGAAACTAAAAGCTCAAATAAGTCCCTAAACACCCGTCACAGTTGTTCGATCAAGTAACCCCTATTCTATTAAAAAGTCTCAGAATTGTAATGAATCCAAAATAAAAAAACAGAAGCGATGAAAAAATTAAAAGAAATATATAATTATAAAAATTAAAAAATTTATATACGAAACATAGGTTTAATTTATAATGAATAGGATTTTATAATATTTTAAAAATAAGTTATTGAACAAAAATGTAAAAGTTCAAATCGGGAATATTTTGTATAACTTAAATTATAATATGATTTTTTATATCTATCTAATACAAAATAAAATAAATAGGAATAGATGTTAAATCTATTGAAATATAAAATATAATGCAAGAACAAAACTAAAACTCCAAAGAAAATATCCTTAAATATGAACAAAGCACATCAAATGTCCTCAAATAAGAATGTCGTTATTTTCATTCTAATATAGGACTCACACACTCCTATTAGGATTAAAGAGGTCCTATTTGTAAGAAAGTATATTTTTGAATTTTTAATATTTTCCTCCTACTTGAGCAGTTCTTAAACCTAAATATTTAATATAAATTAACATATTAAAAAATACATAAAAAATATAAAATATAAACAAAATTTAATGTAGGAAATAAAAGCGCTAAAATACAAATATAAGAGTAAAATATAATGTCAAAAAATACATATTATCTTTTCATCTTTTTATTTTTTTATATTTATATTTTTAATTAACCAAAAAATTCAATATTTCACCAGATATATTTATACTTTATCCTAATTATTATATATTTATTTTCTTATTCTTTTGAATTTATCCCAATTTTGAACCGTTTTTAGAGTTGATGGGGTTACAAGTTGATGGACTTTTTTTTAGCTTTTATTTCAACTTCATATGCAAGGGGGCACCCAAATGGGTGACGTAATGACGTGGCAGGTAACCGGTGTTTACCGTGAAATTTGAACCATTTTTTGTCGGCTCAAGATGCGTATTGAACCTTTTTTATTTTGGAGATTGAAATGAGCTAACATGACCGATACAATGCCTATTTGACCCTCAAGCCTAATTTTGAGGGATATGAATCCGTTTAACTTGAAATTCATGATATGTGACTCATACAACTTTGGGAGAAAAACTGCAAGCTAGAAATGTCGTCAATAATGTATTTAATAATTTGTGGAGTGTATTTCATATAAGACTTTTAACATTTATTACGTAGTACTTTGCATTATTTAATTGTGAATTTACAAATTCATTATTTATAATTATTTATATTATATTGTACGAAGATAAAAATCGGAGCACCGCAGATTAGATCGTAGAGAGCTCATAGGGCAGAGCGGCCGCTAGGTAATTTTCGATTTTGATCTTTCTTGATCGAAGTTCGGTCAGTGTTTCCCTAGCGAGATCTCTCGCATATGTGCTTTACTTCGCCGCCCTGATGCGGCGTTTCTTTCAATCGGCGCAGCACTGCGCCGGATTGCCGTGGTTTGGACGTAGCTCGGGATGGATGATCGTGACAGCGAGAAGATGGTGGAAGAAGCGAGAGAGAGAGAGACATAATAAGGATGATCGAAACATGGTTAGCGTGGAGAGGTTGAACGCTCCATTCGATGGCATGGATTTGGGTCATACAGCGGGCGGGTACGCCACTGAAAGAGGGTATCAATCGAGCGACGGTCCGACCTCCGCCTGAACCACCACCATGGGTTGTACGAGGTGCTAGAGTCCGTGAAAGTTTTCGTAGTACTTTTTATCTGTTTGTCATTTGTTTTCTTGTGTTCATCTTTGTTGTTGGTTTTGACAATTTGTTTGAGTTTTTAGCCTCTCTTTATGTCATTGGGTATGATTGGATCTATGGGAACAAGTTTGGCTGTGTCAAGCCCATTACATGGTTAGCGATTCATGTTTCTCTTTCAGGGTGGACCGTCTCAAAGTCTCACCATAGGGTTACAGTCGTAGTTGTTGGAGTTTCAGTTGGTGTCATTTTTATTTTCCCTTTGCTTGATGTAATGATCCTGAATCTTTTGATATGAATAGACGCCTGTTTTGATGATAAAAAAAATTTTATTGTACGAAGTATAAAATTTACAAATTACTAATTGTAATATTTTTAATTATAATATTTATTACGGATTTATTATGAATTTACAAGTTCACACTAGTGATGATAAATGATAATAATTACGATTCTTTAGATCAGATCTAATCTCTGTGTAAGAATAAGCAATAGCTAAAGATTAACAATGTGCGTTATGCCACCGCCTCCGCTGCTAATGGCTGGAGCAATAACTTGAGACACCAGCGCTTGTGGGACCTTATCAGCAGCGTGTCTTACCACCGCCTCCGTCGCTAATGTCCGGATCAATAAGTTCAGAAATCAGCGCTTCTGGAACCTTACTGTCGTCTCCCCCCCTAATGGGCGGAGTAATGGATTTAGAATCCAGCGCTTTGGGGACCTTATCGGGAGGGTGAATCTTGCCACCGCCTCCGCTGCTAATGGGCGGAGTAGGGGGTTTAGAATCCAGCGCTTCAGTGATGTTATCAGCATTGTGCGTCTTACCACCGCCTCCGTCGCTAATGGCCGGAGCAAAAGCTTCAGGCACCAGCTCTTCCATTACCAATCCAGCAGAGTTCGATTTTCCGCCGCCTCCCTTGCTGATGGCCGGGACAAAGGATGCAGCCATTACCTCTTCCGGGATCTTAACAGCTGCTTGCGTTTCAACACTGTTTAATTTCCAGAGTGAGTATTCAGCGGTGGTGGATCCTCTGAAATGTACGGGCTATATATAGTGTTGCTCATAGTTTTTGGTTGTTCAATCTCAGAATTCAAAGGTGGGATTGCCGGGACTTCAGCTACTAAACGGCGCCGTATTCTTCGCAATTTCCCAATTTTTGAAAAAAAAAATGACCTAATTGGATAGCATGCCAAAAAAAATGTCAATTTGGGATTCACGCTTTGTTGGGGAGCTTCGTTACCAAACGACGTGGTATTGCCAGCGACGGTGGATTTTTTTAACAGTATTTTATTAATGAATTAATTGCCGGTTTTGCCCTGGAATAAATAACCCATTACTGCCAAAAATAGCCCTATAAAGCGCGAAAAATATTCAAACAAAAAGTGTCAGAAGTGGGATTTGAACCCACGCTCTCTCACGAGAACCAGAACTTGAGTCTGGCGCCTTAGACCACTCGGCCATCCTGACTCGTTGCAAACTGTTCTTTGAATATTGTATATAAAGTTATGAGTTTATGTTAAATGATCCTCGGTGTCAACTTTTCAGCGGATTAACAATTTAACACGTTACACGCGCACATGAATGCATGATATGCTTGTCGCAATGTATGGACGTTTTATGTTAAAAAAACAATAGTTACTCGCTCTTCTTTATTATTGGTTGTTCTGTTTTTCCTTCTTTTTTCCTTTTTCTTATTCAATTGAATGATTCTTCATTGCATATTAAGAATCAAACAATAATTTTACTCTTTTTCACCTTCAAGTTAAATTATGAATGGATATAATTTAAGATTTTTTTCCTATCAATCAACAACTAAAGTTTATTAATCTCAATCAAAAAAATGTATTTCTATTTAACAAATGTGCAACACTTTTAATCTCAAACAAAAAATTGTTTTTTTATTTAACAAATGTGCAACACTTTCTTTGGAGTTTATATTTGAAATCTAATAGTTTATTATGTTGCATAAGTTATACTCCGTATAAAAACAAACCACTCTTACATATTTTAATTTGTTACACAGTTTACATTTTGGGAAAATTATCGATATAGGGGTAAAAATATTTTGGAATACTAAAATATGATTATTACGTTTTTATTAGCTAAATAAGAGTAATTAATGCAAAATATGGTAAGCGCTGTCGTGTTTGAAGCCTGATATTGTCACAATATGGCATTAATTACTTCTTTTTGTACAATAAAAATATGACAAATCTATTTTGAAATTCACACAAATTTTCATTGGATATCTTTCCAAACACAATCCAAAAGTTTTTACTCGATCTTGTTTAAGAACATTTCTTTTACACTTTTGTCAAATCATTTACACCAAGTTTATTACTTCTGTACAAGTGAATAATATATCAGACTTATTATTTGACATATGTGCTTTACATTTTGTACAATGTTACTTAAATATTTGACAATGCAACCACAATTTACGTACATGTGGTATAAAATCATTTATACAAAATATTTAACTTTTGCATGAATGAATAACATTACATTTACGAGTTAATCACATGTTTATAACATGCCCGGTTCTTGAGCATGGGCAATGGGGCTTGTGCCCAGGTTCCGTCTCTATACAAGGACCCAAATAAAATTAATTTTATTTAAAGAAAAAAATCTAAAGAGTTACAATAATGTTGTCAAGTTTGATTTTTTCACACTTCGTGATTGTTTAACACACTAATACACTACTCAAATTATTGATAATTCTCATACGCGTCTGACATAAAATTGATATAGTTGAGCACTTTTATAAATTTTAGAGGCAAGTAAGACATGCATCTAATTGAAATTAATATAAAAATATATACTACCCTCATCCCACTAAGAATGAGATATTAAGAGGTGGCACGATTATTAAGGAAAATTATTTTAGGTGGTTCATATTGAATTGATAAAGTAAGAATAAAATAAGAATGATCTAAGACCACACAAATTTTATCAAATTTGATATGAGATATTCTATTTTGAACCAAAATGGAAAGATATAACAATTTTAGTGGGAGGGGGAGTACTATTTTGAAGCTAAGGCTTATTTTTGAAAAATTCTCCCATGCCAATAAAACCTCAGGACCGAGTGTGTTACTACTTTTTAAAACATTCATAATACCACTTACAATGTGATGTGTCACATTTACATCAAATATACATTACTTGTATTAATATTAATATCTTTTAAACATTATCCATACATATTTGTATCTTTTGTAACACCATTTATATAGAAATATGAGAGTATAATATGGATTACGCCAAACACTTCTTTATAAAGAATTACACAAAATTTACTCATACTTAATTACACCAATTGCAAATTTTAATATTCGATCTCAAATTTTCTTGTATGGCCTTATAGGCCCTTCTTATCTAATTGGATATATAGCTTGAGTGTTAATATTTAAATCTTATAATATAAATTCATATAATTGTCATTGTTTTTCAATGTTGTTGCTATATAAATTGAAAATTTATAATTATTCGACAACGTGACATACTTGAACAAAACAATATATATCTCAGGGAAAACTGTCAATTTGGTCATCATACTTGTTGCCCGTGTTGCTACTAAGTTGACCTCGTTGATCATCTAGCTCCGGGAATGGACCTGCAAGATAATCACTAAAAAGAACTAAAAGTATATTAGTGGCTCGAGACGCGTCAGACGCTGTCCTAAGGAATTATTTCCGGCGTACGGAAATTTCCCCCAAGATATAACGAGCCCTTCGATTATAAAACCGGTACCTGAACTAACGAGAAGAAAACAATATATGAACCCAATAATAATAAAGGATTTTAGCTCATGGTAAATTGATATCTCTGTATAAAACTTGGTCCTTGTACACAAAAATGGTAGTAGTTAGCAGCCGAGCATGCTGATATATACCGAAAGGAAAAGTTTGTTTTGTAGTTTTCATCTCAATCATCTTTCTCATCTGCCACAAGTATATATTTATACACTCAAGGCTTTGAATTCAAAAACAGATTCAGATGAATAAAATTGATGGAGGTACGTTACTTAATCAAATCATTTATTTGCCAATTAAATGGTTGACGTTAGGAAAGTTAGCAAGTGCAAGAATTCAAAGGTTTTAGACTGGCCAGCTCAAAATTTAGAAATAAATGTAGGAGATAAAGCAAAATTAAAAGCTTCAGAGTGTAATTAAATAATAGTAAAAAAACGTTAGACATATGACTGGCCATGGAAAAATTAATATTAAATTTAATCGTTTGAGCCTTAAAAGATTTCCCATAAATTAATTAAACTTTAATTCATTTGAAATACCTTAAAATTTCCAACAATCCCCCACATATTTCAAATGAATATTTTAAGTATTTCCAAATAGTAATTCCTTACTGGGTTCATATATGGGGTGAAGTTTTTCAATCTGGTGTCCGTAGACTTGAACCAGACCTAGACGCTTAAGTCTTTAAATACCGAGTTTATTGGTGAAACGTATAGTTTCTATGAACCAATAATCTTCTTTGGTAAGTCAGTGTCTTAGGGGATCATTTTTCACCCCCACCTTTCTCGTCGTTAACGCCGTTGTGCGCCTCTAGGCCGTGCGCGTGCTTGGTTTTCTTTGAGTGCTCTAGAAGCGTTGTCAATGCTTCATGGAGGCGGCCCCACCTCACACTCATATAGGTGACCTCATCAAGTGTGTCCCGCACTTAACACACCACCCGTAAGGGGTATGACAATCATTAAGAGCTTTAGCTCAACCTCACAAACAAGTGCAGTCTAGCCTCCCACACCATAGAAATGGACATTTTACAAGGCTAGCAGAACAAATAGAAGACTTGTTATTACCCATTTGAACTTGCTTCATGGGATCTCCAATCACACAAGTTGGGTTCCCATCCCTATTTGTTGTCAAAGTGACATTAGTCCATTTCCCTCGATGTTTGAATTTATCATTAACGTCCTAGGGATTCTATCAAAAGGAGTAGCTAGTTCCTTTTAACTTCACAAACTTAATGGAATAATTCCATTCTCAAACATCATTGCACCACTTTTAAGGGTGAATGGATATCCACTATTTTATCTCACGTGAGTCGACTCAAGCGGCGTCGTTGTATCCCGGCAATACAACGGATAACTCTAAAAAATATAGCATCGATGTGACACTCTAGTACATCAGATAATTCTCAATTTTTTTTTATTCTCAATATATAATATATAACATCATTGTATCATTATAGTACGTTGGATAATTCTCAAATATAGAACATCATTGTACTGCTCTAGTACAACATATATTTCTCAATAAACATATCATCGTTGTATTAACATATTACAACGGATAAGCTCAACCAAATATACCATAATTAATGGTAACTCTCAAGTACCTCAATAACCTTTTAAGGTATCCCAACTATCCCATTTGAATTTCATATATTGGCTCAATCTTCTGACATTTTAAATTATGGCGGGTCACACATTTCTCTCTCTCTTTTAAAACATACATATTGAGCCTTGCATTTATGTGTTTGATTTTTATTATTTGCATTAAAGTCATAAGGGATATTCACATTATTTACACTGAAATGTCAAACTTCTTATGAAGTTTCTCAATACGATAATAGTAAGATATCAACATTCTTCCTTATGTCTTTAATACTTAAAATTACTTTTATTGTCTTCATGTATCAATACAATATAGCTACTAAAATAAGCAGGTCAAAATAAACATATGACCAAAAAATCACACATGTAAACTTAGGTGTGTACACGCTTTTTTTCCCTCTCCAAAAATTCATCACATTAACTTCAACAATAGTTAGCTCAAAGAATTGCACACAAGCACATTATTTAATTACATCAAGAAAATCACATGCTCCACTATTTTCAACATACAATGTGAACAAATAATCAAAATTTATAGAATTCATTTATTAACACAAGGTGGCTAATAAGTAATAACTCTTACAATGAAAAAAATATACCACCATAAAAGTTGATGATCTATGTCAAACTCAATTTTTTTTTTTTTCAAATGCACATTTCAATTAATATAACTTTCTCCTTCTCAGAAGTATTTCTTGAGCACACT